TATGATGTCAGCCATCTACCTCCTGAATATTATCATATTCAATTAGTAGTTGACTCCCATCATCGAGAGTTCCACAAAGCACGAAGCAAGCAGCATTCGGGCATCGAATAATCTCCACCCACACGCAAAACCACTCTATGTTACAACTCTATCTGTTCTACTCACACTCAAAAGGTGTCACCAAACTCAAACAACTCTACCCCACACGGGTATCTAACTACTCTCTCAGTAGGCTCCCCTAATGCTCATCTAGGTATCTCTCCTAGATTACTCCTCTACTCAAAGCTCTATCCCTGAAATATTCCTGCTGGATACTCTTACTCCGCACATACTCAAAGCAGATCACAGATAACAACAATTCCTAGACTAAGGCATCACAAATCAAGCAACTCTAGCCCTATTATATGGGATACCTAGCCTATCATCTAGCATGCATCACTAATATCTCAATAATAACACAAGTGAGTAAGGGTACTTTGGGAAATCACCGTTCGGGCTCTGGCTGATTGTACACACCGCTCCTTCTTGTTGTCTCTTAGAAACTCTTACTCGTTATAGAAAAATCTTTTCTTTTTGAAAACTTTTCTCAAATCCTCAGTTTGAGTCCAGACTTACCCGAAGGTACATCCGAATCCCTCAAACCAATGCTCTGATATCAACTTGTAACACCGTAAATTTTCAAATAAAATTTTCATTTAAAATCGCATAATTCTCATAACACATTTTATGAAAATATTATTTATTTAATTTATAAATCGCAACTCCATAATTATTTGATTCAAATTCAGGATCCTCAAAACATAACTCCTTCACTGATGTGTACAATCAAGCCGGTGCCTTCCCGCGATCCTGAGAAATGTGAAACACATACCACATAACACGGTAAGCACGAAGCTTAGTGAGTTCCCCAAAATACCACACACACAGCTCATTAGCCACTCGAGGCTATATCACTGTAAGACCCTCCGATCATTGTGTCTCAGTGGGACCCTCGAGTCCCATGATTCGTTGGACCCTATGGTCCGGTCTGTAAAGCTCCGCATAACATAAATCACAAACACATAATGCACAACATAAAACATAAGGCAAGATAACATAATACTCAATGTAAGAACATAAGACCCTCAGGTCACGCATAAGTACCACTCTAGGTAAAGTATAGTGAGCAGACTCACCTTCCGAATAAGCAAACAAATATCCTCGAACTCGAATCTCGAACTAGCCACCGCCTAACACATAGGGTAAATATCTCTAATTAATACTCGATTCTCAACTCTAAGTAACCACATGTTATTCTTCTCTCTCTAACTCTCGAATTGGGTAAAAGACCATTTTACCCCTCCATGGTCTCCATTACTCATGTTGACCAAACCCTAAAGTCCACATAAGTCAACTCGAGTCAACAGTCCATGTTTGACCCGACTCGTCGAGTGCACTCTTGCGACTCGTCGAGTCCCCTCGTTTCCTCAGAAGTCTCAAGAAAGTCCAGCTGAACTCGTCGAGTTGACCCCAACTCGCCGAGTTATCGCACAATCAAACCTATCGGGGCAAACCCTCACCGACTCGTCGAGTCGGCTCCTTGACTCGGCGAGTCTATTCGGACTCATAACTCATCCAATCGTTTTCAAGGCAGGGAACCTTCCCAAATTCTAGATTTGCACTCCTAAGGCTCATTAATCACGTAAAGTCACAAACTTTATGTTCATATATGGCATTTTGAGCTTAAAATGCCAAAACACACCTCAAAAAGGGTTTTTCACTTAAGATCACTATTATGGTTGGATAAAGCGGGGACTTTTAGACTCTAGGGACCTCCCATGGTCCAGATCTGAAGTTTAATCCCTCTCAATGAACATAAAACACTCAAGGTCCTCATATTTGGGTGGAAAAACCCTAGATTTATAAAATCATGAGATCTATACAAAATAATGAGAAAGGTGCAAGCTTTATACCTTTCCCAGAAGCTCTGAAGAGGAACAATCTCAGATCTAGCAGCACCTTCTTGTCCCTTGGCTTGGAATTCTTCTCTCTTCTTCACAAGATGCACCAAACACTCACAATTAGCCAAGCACTCTTTCTCAAAGCTCAAAGGTCGTCTAGGGATTGTTATCAGGGAAGTGTAGCCGCAAATGAGGCTATAAGTGCCTTTAAATAGGCCCCAACCCACGTAAATTAGGGTTTCTCTGCCCAGCACCTACTCGGTGAGTCATCTCTCTGACTCGTCGAGTCCACTCATTAAATCCACGTGGCCAACCCGACCCTACTCGGCGAGTCGGACTCACAACTCGTCGAGTTACTCCATACATCTCAAAGATAAACACACATTAATGCATCTGAAAGTCCGGATGTTACATTGGAGATGCCTAGCTTGGAAAGAGGGTTATAGATCCAGAAACTCTCCATTTGTTGCAGTCCTTTTGAGGTATAAAGTCGATACCTTGCCTTGTTTTTACCTAGATCTCATTGTTTGATGTTTTAGCTTGATTTTGGGTTTATGTTTGGGTTGTCCCAAGAAGTTGAGGGTTCCAGGGGTTATTATGCTAGATCTAGCCCTTTCATGACCTCTCTTGGCTTAAAGTTGAAAGCTTTACTAGGTTCTAGGTTCCCTTCATGCAAAAAGTCCCTTATTAAACCCTTTCGTGTCCTAGGGTTCATTTCTGGCATGCATGGACGTAAAGTTGGAAACTTTACGTGATTTTCCAGCCTTGGGATGCTAGATCTGTGTTTCGGGACTGTATTTTGAGAGTTTAAGGGCTTAATGGGTTAAGTCTAACTCTTTTGAGACTAGAGTTCAGGTTTGAGCCCATTATGGTGGTTCTAAGGATAAAGGTGGAAACTTTACCCATATAGACATCATTTTGGAAGGAGATATGATATTTTGGAGTCCCTAGATTCAATGGAAACAGCTTAATACATTAAGTTGTTGGGTTTCTGGCCAACTCGGCGAGTTCATTGGTGAACTCGACAAGTTGATAGGATTTTTCCCGATCTGAACAGTTAATGGAGGAACTCGACGAGTTGGAGGAAACAACTCGGCGAGTTAGGTCAACTCAGGGAGTTGACTTTGAATTTTGACCTTGACCTTTGACCAAGTTGACATATAAGGGACTTTGGGGCATTTAAGTTGAATTTAAGGAATAGTTTTTGTTTATTCAGTAGAGCTGACACTCGGAGCCAGGACCTAGTCAGCTATCGTTTAGTATTCAAGGTAAGTCTCCTCACCATACCAATAGGTCTAGGGCACCAAGGTCGGCCTATATATGTTATGTAGCTGTAATAGTTATGTATTCAATGAATGTGCTAGAATTATGATATATATTATGTGAAGAACATGGGGGGAACTCATGGCAACTGGTTAATACCATGGGGGAGCCCATGGCACACGGGTGTAAGACCACGGGGGTAGCCCATGACATTCCGAATGAAGACCATAGAGGGAGTTCATGACATCTCTATGTGTATGTTTGCATGTCAATTATGTGGATTTGTGGTTGGGTATGTATGGGGAACTCACTAAGCATTAGCTTATAGTTTGTTGGTTGTTTCAGGTACTTTAGGATCTAAGGGCAAGGGCCCGACGTGATGGTGCATCGTGCACTCTCAAGCATTTTTACCCATTAGTTACCTGGACACTCTGATCTTTCTAAATAAAATGTGAATGTATTGGATTTTTAGGAACAACTTATGATATGAATTTCTAATTATTAAACATGAATGGTTAATATCTAAATGAAAATTTTTGCTTGAAATTTTGGGTCGTTACATAACAGCATCAATTTATTTTTTTGCTTTGATATTTGTTTTTTATCATTTATACAAATTTGATTGTCTATGTTGCTAATTACTAATTAGTAAACAAAAATCTAGCCTCCCTTGGCCTTTAACTGTTCTGCCGATTGACATCATAAGTTGCCTAAAATGTATTTAGATATGTAAATCTTTTTAAAATATATTTTTAGAAAAATTGTAAAAAAAAATCACTATATTAACACAAATATTCGATTTTGACACCGAATTATTTTTTACGCAATTATGTCACTATATTTACAATTTTATTGCAATATCAACCAAATGATATGTTCTACATGTTCTCCCGGTAACCACTTTTCCCGAATTACAATTTTGTTGTAATATCAACCAAATAAACATTGTATTTTAATTTTATTCAAAATATTACAATACATTGTTTCAAAAGAAATATATTACAACATATTTTTCGAAAAAATTAATGCGAAAAAACTATTATGAAATAGTCATAAAAATATTGAAAAAAAAATATAAAATCATTATAATTTTATATTTTATAAATGAAATCTCATTAAATATTTAATACAAACAACTAATTAGTAAATAAATAAAAAATATTTAAAACTAAAAATTATTTAAGAAAGATAAAATAAAAATACTATAATACTCCGAGTTGATTTTGAAGGTACATGTGCTGTTCGCCTATTAATATATATTTTTTCGTGAAATTCTATAACATCTTAGATAATAATCTTTCTCTGCATAATATGTTTCTACTTTTGAATTCTTTGTTATATGTTAAATAAATATGGTTAGCAAATATGATTATCTTTTTCTTTCATGTTAATAATTTTATGTTATTTTTTTCATTAAAATATGTAAAGATTGTAAAACTTAAATTAACCGGTTTTAAAATTGTAAAAAAGGTGTGTTTGTATTATAAAGAGATGGTAAAATGATTATCTATTTACTTAATCTAAATGGCTTTAAAATTGTGAAAAATAGTGTGTTGAGATTTTGATGACTGTGTAGAGTATGTATCTGACGATCTATTAGATATCCACCCCGACTACAGGTTTGACGGATTGAATGACATCAATCATTCAATCTTATAAATTAAATAGTTGAGATTTTGGACCAAAAGACTAAGAAATACAACTGTGGGACTAATGTTGTTGGTTGTTAAATAGATCAGGGCATACTTTATGTAATTTAGTATTAATCAGCTCGTGATGTCAACCACAGGATCTCATATACACGCCAACCGGTGGTAATAATCTTATCTTCACCCCAAAAATGGTAGCAACAGTGGGTAAAGTTTTGATCGCCTTGGCTATAACAATAATCGTGAGCTGGGGATGGAAAGTACTATATTGGGTCTGGTTGAAGCCAAAGAAGCTAGAGAAGTTGTTGAGAAAACAAGGGTATAAAGGTAATTCATACAAGTTGCTGATTGGTGACATCGTAGAGCTTGCAACAATGGTGAAGGAAGCTAGATCAAAGTCTATTCATCCCATCTCCCATGATATTTCTTCACATGTCATGCCTTTTGATCACCATGTCTTCAACAAATACGGTATTTTTCTCCACAAATAGTTTTATAAAGGATACCTTTTGTTCTAAAATCCCTATATTCGTTATTTCGTTACAGGTAAAAAGTCATATATATGGTTCGGGCCAAACCCGAGGATTTTTATCATGGACCCAGAACTGATCAAGGAGATATTATCAAGACCCGACGAGTTTCAGAAGCCGCATCCTGAGGCATTCCGTGATAGCATCGTTGGTGGACTTGTAATCTCTGAGGGTCGTAAATGGGAAAGTCATCGTCAAATAATCAGTCCAGCTTTTAATGTTGAAAGTATGAAGGTCAGTGTCGACGTCTTTACTTTAATTACACTGATCATGTTTTATCTTCAAAATCTAAAGCAATTTGTTTGGTTTAATGGTGCACATAGAGTATGTTCACAGCAATTTGTTCGAGCTGTAGTGAAATGACCAAGAAATGGGAGCTTCTCACTGCGTCAACTGGTGTGGTGGACGTTGATGTTTGGCCCTACATCGATGACTTTGCTGGAGATGTCATTTCAAGAACAGCATTCAGCAGCAGTTTCGAGGAAGGAAAGAAGATATTTCAAATCCAAAAGGAACAAATGGATCTTGCTATCCAACTGTTGTTCATACTTTATCTTCCTGGAGCAAGGTACCAATGATTTTAATTACAATTGGACTATGTTTATCATGAATCATGATCGGTCACACACGTTTTCTTTAAAAAACAATAGATATTTTATTCAAATATACAACCAACTAAATCTGAATTTTAGCATTTTTCAACAAACTAGCATCATCAAAAATATATTTTATATAAAAACTTGATATATATATATATATATATATAT